TTTTCACCAAGGCACTTCAGCCTTGTGATCATCAGCGTTTCTGTACTATGTTAGGCCTTGTACCTATTGTGCCTCGCTTTCTTCTTGATTCTGCTTGTACTGTACTCTTTATATATATACCTGCATGCTTACACTTGCTAGGTTTTGTTCACTGTATTGTTTGTTCTCCTTTATATGACTCTGCATGTGAACTAGCCTTGTGGCCATTTGCTTGTGCTCAGACTGCGTGGTGACTTTGTGATCCACCCTGAGCTTGCTTTGCCTTTCTTGACTGGTCTTGTGACCTCTTGTTCTCCCCCACTTTGCCTATGGGGGTGTGTCAAACTTATATTCATATAGTCTGTTTAGGCTGTAGTGGGGTAGTCCTTACAGGGTACAACACTTTTAGGTTTCCTATATGTGCCTGCATTCTAGTTCAGTCATTCATTCGCTCACATTCTAACATGGATGCGTTAGACTCGGTAGGTGAAGCGGGAGCAGCGGGAGCGTCCGAGAGAATGTCGTGACAAGGGGTCCGCCGTGACTTATGACCGCCATAAACTTGGGCCTTGGGGAACCATCTGTTGCAGAAATCGCAGACAACGCCTGGCAAAGAGCCCATGTGTTACGGATCCGTCTAAGAGTGGAGAAATGGCCTATGAAGCAACTAGCCTGTTTGAAGTTTGTGAACGCATCAAATACACCGTCAACGAAGGCTGTGACTGCAACACGGTCATCGCCAAAGCGCGAACTCTCCATGGCGGTTTGTATCTCTGCAGGACTGGCACTTGAGCGTGGCGCGATGGTTAGGGACTGGCTAACGATGGTCGAGCAGCGCGGCCGTGAAAAGGCACGATACAGACCGCCAACAGCACGGCATTTCCCTTTCCTACAAGGCGTGTCGCCCCCTCTTAGAGCGACCACGACGTGAGCAGGGCCATATGCACTGGAGTTTAGCACGCTTGGCCGTGAATGTGCGTCGCGAGCACGGTGAGAAGTACGTGCCTCTTGATTCAAAATTTGGGTTTTTGAATCGTGCGTGAGAGTCGAGGGGGATGAGGAAGAGAGGGACGAGATCCGTTTGGTGCTGTGATTCGTTCTCGAGTAGCTATAGAGGGGAAATCGCAATCACATAGGTGAGCCCAAAGTGGTGCGCACCTCTAGAGACTTAATCCAAACCAGGTAATGACAGTGTACAGTTACATTTTACATAGACACTCGATTCAATTATAATTAGTATTATACAAACATACTTATGGGCCTGCACAAAAACAACCCCTAATTGACAACGGTAGTGTTTGTAAACCCTCCTAGTTCTCTAGTGTGGTATGGAAACATACGGGTATTACCCATGAACTCTGTGTGTTTCCGTAAGATTGTTTCATATACCGAATATGTATATCGTCACTTCGCAAGAGATTTTGGGGACCTCAAAGCACCGTGCTGCAAGAATGGAGCCTAATCTAATACAATAATACAACGGTTTCGTCGTCGGATGCAATACCACAACGGTTTCACCATGACATGCAACACATGGGAGTGAACGATGCAGCATCGCCCTGTATAAGCATGGCTATCGATAACGCATCACTGCTTGTGCGTTAGCCCTGTGCTTCATACCAAACCCTTTATGCACCTTTTATAAGGTCCATGCAAGAATTGAGCCCAATCCAACACCATACCACAACGGTTTCACCATGCCGTGCAAAACATGGGCCTGAACGATGCAGCGTCGCCCTGTCTAAACATGGCTGTCGATAACGCATCACCGCTTGTGCGTTAGCCCTGTGCTTAATACCAAACCCTTTATGCACCTTTTATAAGGTCCATGCAAGAATTTAGCCCAATCCAACACCATACCACAACTGTTTCACCATGTCGCGCAAAACATGGGCCTGAACGATGCAACATCGCCCGGTCTAAACATGGCTGTCGATAACGCATCACCGCTTGTGCGTTAGCCCTGTGCTTCATACCACTCCCTTTATGCACCTTTTATAAGGTCCATGCAAGAATTGAGCCCAATCCAACACCATACCACAACGGTTTCACCATGTCGCGCAAAACATGGGCCTGAACGATGCAGCATCGCCCTGTCTAAACATGGCTCTCGATAACGCATCACCGCTTGTGCGTTAGCCCTGTGCTTCATACCACTTCCTTTATGCACCTTTTATAAGGTCCATGCAAGAATTGAGCCCAATCCAACACCATAGCACAACTGTTTCTCGTTTGGCACTAGTGATCGTCGTGTTAGATTTCGTACAGCGACGCGTAACCGTTGTGGCATAGCCTAATAGTGCACAGTTAAATTGTATGAAGTAATAATTCTAGACGCTCTTTGTGTGTGTGTCATGATACAAACCCACTACCTTACCACAACCCCGGACTATTACATTAGCAACCAGTTTTTTTGGATTGTATTTGTTGTAGTTTTAAATGTTATTTAGCTCGTATGTGCAACATTGTTCGTTCGCGACATCACTGTACTTTGCAGGGTTTAGGCTGCTTTCGCTCAATTGGTTCAAAAACAGTTCTAGCATGACAAGTCATTTATGCGTTGGCAACACTGATTGGCCGACGCATCTCAAACGATCCCTCCCGCAACACAAGCACCCGCCAAGCGGTACTTCCGCCATTGAGCGGCTGTGATCGAGCGGTGGGTGGCTACACGTACACCGTCCGATCTAGCCTGATCTGATTATAGTAATCTCTCTAGTCGCGCAAGCCACCCCAACCACCCTCTTGCCCCACCCACCTGCTTCCGTCACCCTCTCGCCCACAACTTTGACGTTGCTCGCTGTTTGACACAGGCGTTTCTAGATCGCCCGTGACTCACCAGTCAACTAAGTCATGGGCCGTAGCTCCGGCTGACTACTATTTTGTTGGTGTAAGGGCCTAATAAAATCAGGCTATTAAGACGTTATCCAACTTAAAACCTCTCCTCGGGGTCACCTCCAAGGGTCCCTGGGTGCTTGGTACAAGACCAGCCCCTATCCTCGGGTCCGAGTTTGTAGAGAGAGGGATCAAGAGGGACTTAGTCAAAACAGCAAGAGTACCTTGAACGTCGCGCAGCATGCCGTGCAGACCGTCGATCAGATTAAGCTGAGAACTCGCTATATCGAAGCTCACTCTAAGAGCTTTCAAAAGAGCCAAGTTGCCTCGCGAAAAGTTTTGCCATTGCAGAGTTATGGCTCGGACAGCGATAATCTAGCGTCGTAGTACTAGCGTACTAGCGTTGACTCAGTAGCATTCCGCCGTTGCACCGCGTAGAAACGAAATTCCAGCAAGGAATGAATTCGCTTGAATCAAATTGACTATATTCATGTACAAACAGAGAAGAAATATATAGTTCTAGCTAGCAAGGACCTTGGGAATCAACCTGGGAACAACCAGGGATGATCCCAAATTATTCCAAGCAACAGATCCAACCTGGCTGGACAAAACAGCAAGTGGTAGGTTCGTAAACAACCTCTGGTTCTGTTTTTCCAACCTGGGAAAACAACAACCAGGTTCAGGTCCTAAAAACAGAACCTGTTTTGTCTTTGCCCAACCAGCCAAATGCTGGTTCCGCTGGTTTCCCCTGGCCCTGTAGCATGCAGATACAAACAAACAACATCCAACCTTCACCTAAATTGTACCCTATAGTGCCTGCCCTGCTACATTATAGTCAACCAAACAAAACAGTACAATTTCGAGTTGGATAGAACTGAATCTGCGCAATCAATTAAACCGAACTGCAAAGCTTCCATCTTGGGTTCCTTTGCGAGCTCGTCCTTTCTGCTTGCACTGTTCATAGCGCGTACAATGTTGTGCCGAAGCGCACGCTGCGCGAGTACCTGCAAATGCATCAAGCAAAAATTGCGAAAGTAAACAAACACACGAACATTCCATTCACACCCAAATGCATTCGCACACGCATACTCGTACAAACAGACGGCAAGATGTCGTGCAATGTGAATTTGCACCCAACATATTTCGGTATTGATTGAAGCGGAGGTTTTCGGAGAGAGATGACAGAATAGACTGTCGACTCTCCCTTCGTTACATTCATTTGCGGTTCCCCTTCGAAACCGGCTCCACCGTTATGCCTTGTAGAAATTCGCATTCGTAAAACAACCATGACACGTGCAATACGGCAAAAAGAAAAGAAGGAGGAACAGGCCGGACGTCGGGCGACAAGGAGGCTATCTCAACAGACCGATAGGGAGGGTGGTGGTGGCTCTAAAGGTACTAATGCGTCCGCCGCGCGTGGCAGGGGGCTGAAAAAATTGGCGGGAAAAAAGGCCGCGTTTGGATAGGAGAAGTCCGGCAAGAAGGATGCGGCGAAGGAGAAGAATGCTACTACTGCCACATGGAGCGTGAGTCTTGTAGTCCCGTCGGCAGAGAGAGAGGGGTCGGCGACAGGGGGAAACCACGGCGACTCTCCCCGCGCCGAGCATGGCGCAACCCAGGAGTCCGAGGCGGAGGCATCCCAACACGGACTGACGCTGTTCCAGCCGACCGTGGTCGAAATTTCTGCTGCAGTGGTGGATAAGGCCAAGGCGGGGGAACACAGCATCGCCGACGTAGGTGGCTCTCCTCCTTCTGGTGGACGTGGGAGGCGTAGGCAGAGGAAGAGTGATGGGGAAGAAGAGTATGACACCGCCGTGCCCGGGGACATCAATACACAGTCGAAGAGGCTGCAGACAAGCCGCGGTGCTGACGACGCCGGTGGTGCGGAAGTTGGGACAACGCGAGGCGCCAGGGAAGCAAGTGGCAAGGCGACGCGTCATGCATTGCGCAAGAAGGGCCGACCCGCAGCGAGGAGAACATCCGGCAGAAGGAGGGGCAAGAAAGATGAGGGGGATGCAGGGGATGAGGAGGAGGAGGCTGATGAGGAGGAGGATGCGGAGGAAGAGGAGGATGAAGAGGATGCGGAGGAGGAGAACACGGATGTTGGGGAGGAAGAAAAGGATGAGAATGATGAAAAGTAGGACAAAGAGGAGGAGGAGGATGAGGACGAGGAGGGGGGCGACGAGGATGAGGAGGAGGAGGAGGAGGAGGAGGAGGAGGAGGAGGAGGAGGAGGAGGAGGAGGAGGAGGAGGAGGAGGAGGAGGAGAGGGACGACGAGGATGAGGAGGAGGAGGAGGAGGGGGAGGAGGAGGAGGAGGAGGAGGAGGAGGAGGAGGAAGAAGAGGAGGAGGAGGAGGAGGAGGAGGAGGAGGAGGAGGAGGAGGAGGAGGAGGAGGAAGAGGATGTGGTGGAAGTGAAAGGACGGGGCGGGCGAGGCAGACGGGGGAGTGGTACAGGGAAGGTGGGGGGCTGGACTCGCCATTCCCGAAAACGCGGGGCGGGTGACGCCCCGCGTGGCGAAGCAGCGGGCAAACCGAAGACGCATAAAGTGAAGGTCGAAAGCGAAGGAGTTGGTAAGAAGCAAGGGAGCCAGGGATCAAAAGGGGATGGTGAAGGAAAGGGTTTAGGGTGCGCCAAAGGGGTTCCAGTGGGTTTCGGCAACAAAGAACCAGCCGGTAAACGTCGCAGCGGCCGCCAAAGCACCCCACGGAAAGGTGGCAACGAGAAGGCGCAGACAGCAAAAAAACCGAAGGGACAGCTGAAAGGTAAGCACTGTGGCCCATACACATGGCGTGGCTGCTGAACTCTCTGCTCAACCGTGCCAATTAACACATTTCTTCACATTGTTTCTCCCCTGCAGGGAAGGAGAAGGTCGACGAATCTGCAAAGCAAGGTAAGTCCTCTTGTTACAAAACAGTGCCCGTTATAACCCGATTTAGATTCAAACTGCTGATCGTACGCAAGCATGTGTGCCCCTGTATTGAAACTAATCGACTCTTATTTTGTGCTCCTGCTCCCTATAAATCTCAGCCCCTCGTGTTACAGGCATTGGGCCACCAGTAAGCGTGCAACGGATGCAGCTAACGAAGGGGGCCGGAAGAGCGAGTGTTACCCCGCTATTCACAGGAGCCCCAAGGTTCTACACGCCATACTCCAGCCCGTCTAAAGTCGCTGCCAGGGCACCCGGCGCACCAAGAGGAGAGGAATCCGAATCCCCTCCACCAGGCCACGTCACGCACTCCCCACTCGCCTCACCCTCATACCCATTTCGGCAGCTCCACACTTCTCCTGTCTGGGGCAGGGCCGTCTCCCCCCTCGCCGGTCCTTCGCGCGGGCAAGGGCCAAGCACTTCTGCCAATCCCTTCCCTGAGCTGCCCTTTTCCCGCCAGCGTGATAGTGTGAGGGCACACGGGACTGCTGCAGAAGACGTTGATCCCCTTGGCCAGAAGGGGGATTCTTCACACCCTTTTCCCCCGCTCTTGGGTGCCCTAGGTGAAAGTGCGGAGCACGAGCAGTTTGTTACACGGGAGGAGTTCCAGGCGCTACGGTCTGAGATGTACGCCATGTTTGCTCAGCTCGGCCTGCGTCATGGAGCACCTGCCAGTTATGCCGGGGGGTCTGCAGTGGTGCCTATGAAAGGTACCACGCCGCCGATGAGTGCCGTGGACAAGGCACGAGTGCTAGTGTTGCAGGAGACAAACCCATTCCCGGTATGTGGCGGGCCAAATGGGGCGGGTTGGGGTTGACGTGGCAACCAGGGTGGGGTTGGGGATGACGTGGCGGTTTTGGAGGGTATAAGGGAGCGGCGCATGACGAGGCGAGGCGTGTTAGGTGGGTGGGGGGTGATGTGGCTTGGGGTGGGGGAGGGTGACGTGGCGGAAGGTGAGGGTTGGGGATGACGTGGCGGATGCAGGAGGGTGTGACGTGGCGGAAGGTGAGGGTTGGGGATGACGTGGCGGTTTGAAAGGGTACACGTGAGCGGCGCATGACGAAGCGAGGCATGTCAGGTGGGTGGGGGGTGACGTGGCTTGTGGTAGGGGGGTGTGACGTGGCAAGTGGGGCGGGTTGTTGGTGGACGTGGCGGATGGCGCAGGGTGTGACGTGGCAAGTTCACACAGTGTTGCTAGTCACCATCCCCTGGTCACGCGGCCACCCTCATAACTGCTGGTTTCTCTCTCCCATGTCGTGTTGTATACCCTACACCCCTGTGCAGCACAAAGCCTACTTAGTGTGCTCTCAGCTCATGTTTCTGAACCCGCCGGAGAAAATACAGTACTACCCTGCACCGGAGGAAGTGTTTGACGCGTTCTCTGTCCACTTGTCTGCAGAAGGGCTCGAGGCAATGAAGCTGCTGTGGTTGCACAATGACAAGTCAACCATGGGAGTCTTCAACCACCAGCTGTCCTCAACAAGGTCAACTATCAACTCCACCCTCAGGCCAGCAGCATACACCGGCATGGGCCTTGCCGATTACAGCCATCTCATGGAAAGCCTGCCCACTGAGCTACGCCCAACGACCTGGTTCGACGACGATCATCTCCTAGCCGAGTACAGAGATGGTATGTGCAACTGGAAAACACCATATGCCAGTTGGCAGCTACATATCACCGTGCGATGTGGCTCACCCTGACTCTCATCCCCCCACTTGATTTCTCTACAAAACCCTTTCCAACCCATACCCTCCCTACCAAAATGCAGAACAGTGGGCCCTCGACTGGCACTTTGACAAGGCCACCGGGACGCCCTTCAGCAACCCCTTGTTCGCTTATGCGTTCAAGCTCTCCTTCAAGAGGGGCGGGGCGGTGTTCACCAAGTTCAAGAGCCGCATGGTGGCATGGGGCCTGTTTTCAGTAAGGATGTAGATATGTGTTTGTACCCCCATGCCTCATCCCCTTCACCCCTTGCCTGTACTTCAGCTAAATCCCTGGTCGATTAAGCCTTTCGAGTTACGTAGATAGTGACGATTGAATCACCGCTTTCAGTTGGCTCATTTACCCGTAACCCACCCTCCTCATAAACCATCCACCCAACCCTACACCACATTGCAGATCGAATGGCCCCTTCTGCAGGATAAGCGTCGCAAGCGAATCGGTAGCCAGCCGGAATAGAACAGGCCAGACTACGAGGAGTGGTGCCAAAAGGTCAAATAGATGATCCACTTTGCCGTCGAGGAGTGGAGGATCCCCCACGATCCGGCTATGGGTGCATTCGTCTTTCCGAACAAGTTCCTCATCGACGATGGCGACCTTGGAGATGTCGTCCTTGCCCACCGGGCGCTTTCAAGGCCCGCCAGTGCGTAGGCTATTTGACCTGGTGCTGAGACTGCTTGTTGCTAGAATGCTGAATAATGGTTGTTGTAAACCACAATAATAAATGCAGTTTTGAAATCCTCAATATCCAAAATGAACAAAAACAGAATTTATTTTTGAATAATTTGGTCACGAATTTGCACCAAAACGGATTGCGCCCGAATGTCATCCGGAAAAGCACGCGTGCCAAATTGGAACTTGAACTGAGCCAAACCTTGTCGCGAGAAGTGTCTCGGAGCTCCTATCAAATGACTCCAACCGTCGGTCCAAATTCATTCCGATTTTTTTTACGCGAAGACAATCGAAATCAAAAAAATTCCAAACTTGGCATAGGGTTTTGTGATGGTTTCATGGGGTGAAGGAGGTGGTTTGGATGAGGAGGTTGCTTGAGGAGTTGGAGCAGGAGCAAGAGGGTCCTACACCTGTGCTTTGTGACAGCCAAGGAGCAATTGCAATGGCGCGTAATGCTGTGCTCCATGGGCTGAACAAGCACATGCATATCAAGTGGCATTGGGTGAGGAAGGAGGTGAAGAACGACACCATCTCCTTGCACTACATCAACACTACCAAGCAACCTGCAGATTTCTTGACTAAGTGGCTTGCAGAGCATCAGCATTGGAGCTGTGGCACCTTGTATGGCATGTCCTTCAACTAAGGGAGGCAACTTCAGGGAGCAGCTAAGGGATGAATGAGAGCACAATGAGGGGGAGTTTGTTGTGCCAAAGCACTATAGTGGCACGGTCATCGCACTCCCATTCAGCCAACAAGCCTGCTCAGCTTCTGGAAATTTTGGGGGAGGTGCTTCAACATTTGTTATTCACACCCTCAAAGTTTCAGAATTTTTTAAGCAGTTTAAAAGGCATGACAACATTTTTAGTTTTAAGACTTATGGCATCCCGGAAGTGTGTGTTACTCTTTTTTTTGTAACACCCGACTTCACCATTTCGGCTGCTGACTCATCTACCAATCTCTGATTGGTCTGAAAATCGGTGTGGCAGTCCTTTGCCGTGTTTTTCAGGTTTTCAGTGAGTTTCAGGATAACCCAGCATCGGAGCAGCACGTGACAGCTGTCGAAAGTTACTGTTCTGTAGTCATGGTGCACTGTTGGCAACATTTCCCTTGCCACCCTTTCATTGTTGTCATGCCAATGGTGCAGGGACAGAGAATGAGACAAGAAGTACAGGTGGTCAAGTGGGACTCTGCCACCCTCCTTTTGAGATGTGTGGTCTTCCTGGAAGCAGCTTGCAAGAGGGTGCAAGTGGGAAGACAAGCTGACTCATGGTTGGCTTGACTCACTATTGGTAGCCTTGAGCACAGCTCTGAACATCCAAGTGTGGTTGGCTTTGCTGACCTAGCTAGGACGTTTCTCATCCTTCTCTAGCCTTTCTCCCCTATGACTCAACCTTCTCTGAGTTCCCAGGATGGTCCCAACCCCCTAAGAGTCCCCTAGGCAATGTTGTACTCACCTCTTCCTTGCATCAATGAAACTACACGTTTTCAGCCGAGCTTACGTTTTCGTTCACTGCGTAGTGCATACACCTCTGATAAACGCAAGCAATATACCATTAGAAAGCTGAAATCTTAAGCTAACGAATTTTCAAGTTTTAGCCTCGTATGTTATCGGAGCTGATCGTGACGGCGCTTGAACAGAGGCGGTTCCAAGTCATCAGATTCTGCTTAGGCGGTTTCATGGGCATCCTGCGACCCCTGAGTGGACTCTAAACTATAACACCCGCAGCCGCGGTCGTCCCTGCCGCCAACTGACTCGGTCCTTCGCCAGGTTCTTAGTCTCCCGTCTTCCACTGGCCTCTCTCCACCTCTCCTGTGTCCACCGACAGACCAGTCTCAGCCACAGCTACTGCCTGGCTCCTCGCTGCCTGCTCTTGCTCCTCACACTGAGGTGACTGAGTCCCTGACTGAGCGTCGTGACCCTGAGACTCATGCTTCCACACCTGTTCGTGCTCGTCGTGTTGCCCGTCCTCGTCCTCCTGCTGTCCCAGGAACTTACGGTATGGCACTTCGTCCTTCCTCTGTTCCACAGCGTGTTGTCCTGCCTGAGCCTCCCGCGTCTTCTCTTCCACACGTTCCAGACCCTGAGTCCGACCTTGCTCGTGCTGCCAGTCTACTATCACTCGTCTCCTCGCTACTGTCTTTAGTGACCCTGACTTTGAGTCTACTGCTGCATTTGCCCTAGTTACTGATCTAGTCGACTTTGCAGCTAGGAGTCGTCTCGACTACGTCGCGAGTCTTGTTACTGAGTCTGAGTCTGTCTATCCTCTGTCCGTCAGGAGTGAGCGTGCCCTTAGCAGAGACATCCTTAAGGACAGGCAATTGGATCTTGAGTGTCTTGCGGCCGCTTTACCTCGTTTCGCATCCATGCTGCTTTGCCCTGAGGGAGACCCGGATGCACTTGACATCCCTACCCCGCGCTCTTACGCTGAGGCGATCGCAGGTGAGCACTCCTCTCAATGGCAGACAACCATGGACGCAGAGATGGGTTCCTGGAAATCCACAGGCACCTACGTCGACGAGGTTCCTCCTCCTGGGGCGAACATAGTCGATGGCATGTGGATTTTCACAGTGAAGCGGCCACCGGGTTCTCCGCCTGCCTTCAAGGCGCGTTACGTTGCTCGAGGCTTCAGTCAGCGACAGTGGGTCGACTTCTTCCACACATTCTCCTCCACCCCGAAGATGACTACTCTTCGGGTGCTGCTGCACGTTGCAGCACAGCGTGACTACGAGCTGCACTCCCTCGACTTCTCCACAGCTTTCTTGCAGGGCAGCCTTCACGAGGAGATCTGGTTGCGCCACCCACCTGGCTTCACTTGGTCGTATCCTGCGGGTACCCAGTGGAGCTTCCGGCGGCCAGTCTACGGTCTCCGCCAGGCACCCCGCGAGTGGCACGACACACTGAGGACTACACTTGCGGCTCTTGGGTTTGCTCCTTCCTCTCCTGACCCGTCGCTATTTCTACGCACCAACACTACCCTGCCGCCGTTCTACGTTCTCGTGTATGTCGACAACTTGGTTTTTGCTACTGCTGACACTGAGGCGCTGGCCCTAGTGAAGGCGGAGCTGCAGGAAAGACACACCTGCACTGACCTGGGTGAGTTGCATCGCTATCTTGGCTTGCAGATCACCCGGGACAGAGCACGGCGCACCATCACTCCGACTCAGTCACACATGGTGCACCAGGTCTTTCGGCGCTTCGGCTTCTAGTACTCCTCGCCACAGCCCACTCCTCTATCTACTAGCCACTCGCTCTCAGCTCCACCTTCGGACGAGTAAGTAGAGCCGAGTGGTCCGTACCGAGAGCTTGTGGGTTGCCTCATGTACCTGATGACGTGCACTCGACCTGACCTCGCGTACCCTCTCAGCCTCCTGGCTCACTATGTGGCTCCCGGTAGACACCGAAAGGTGCACTTTGATGCTGCGAAGAGGGTACTACGTTACTTGTGCAGTACATCGGACATGGGGCTCGTGCTTTGAGGACAGGGTTCATTGGTACTCACAGGACACCCCGACGCTTCTTGGGCCGACGACCAGGCGACTCAGCGTTCGTCACATGGTTACACCTTCAGTCTTGGCTCTGGTTCTGTCTCGTGGAGGTCCAGTCGTTCTTCTTCTGTGCTTGGTTCCAGCTGTGAGGCCGAGATCTACGCTGGGGCCATGGCTGCACAGGAGCTACGCTGGCTGACCTACCTGCTGACCGACTTGGGGGAGCGGCCTCGTTCTCCTCCAGTTCTGTACGTCGACAACAAGGCCATGCTTGCCTTGTGTCGGGAGCAGAGACTGGAGCACAGAACGAAGCACATTGCTCTTCGCTACTTTCTTGCTCGAGAGTTGCAGCGGCGTGGTCCGCTTCGCCTTTCTTACGTGGCCTCTCGGGCCAACACTGCTGATGTCTCCTCCAAGGCCCTCGGGTTTGGTAATCTTCATCATTTTTTCACTGCTCTTGGGCTTCTGCCTGTTCTACCTCACCTGCTTGTCTCTTGATCTTGCACTTGTACACTGATATCTATATTTATACCTGCATGTTTCCTCTTGCTAGGTTGTGATCAGTGTACTGCCTTGCTATTATAACTCTGCATGTGAACTGGCCTTGTGGCCGCTTGCTTGTGCTCGGATTGTATGGTGTCCTTGAGATCCACCCTGAGCTTTGCTTTGCTTTGTTCTCTTGCTTGATTGGTCTTGTGACCATCTGGTTGTCCCCCATTTAGCCTATGGGGGTGTGTCAAATTGCATTTGTGCTTGCTAGGCTGTCCTGGGGTACATCATATGGGGTACAACCCCAATTAGGTCTAGTACTTATACACATCTCTCATGCTAGTCAATCATTCCTGCACAGTTATTATGACACATTTTACTATGATTTTTTGGGCCATGACAACCACTTTCGTAAATGTTGCAAAAAGGGTATTGCAAAACGTTCCCATTTTGAACACACGGCAAATGCGACTTGAAGATAAGAACTCGACTCGACTCAGTACATGAAGATATGTGCGCATGTTGAATTGCAAGTGTGCACTTTTGGCACGTTCGATGGTTTGGTGATATTATACAGACGTACGAAAAACAAAGTTCCTAAACCTGAAATGTAAAAAAGAGTTGCAATGTGAGAAAATGTCACGTGTCAGGAATCGGGTAACCTATTTATAGGTTCGAACCTAGATGACCAAAGTTGTGTCATTGTGATTGAATTGAAAAATATCGTGCGGTTCGAATCTGGATAACAGCGATTTTCGACTACAGTTCGCCCTAAATTCAAAAGGAAAATCGCCTCTAAAATGCAAACTTACGGTATGCAGTTTTCAAAAATCACCCGCTCCCTTAGTGCTGGTTTCCCCCTGAACTCATGTTCTCCAAGTCTCGTTATTGACTTCCGCGCACTCTTCATTGACAACTTAACAAAGTACCTCAAGCGTGTGAAACAGTGTGCGGCACATAAGGCATATATCCCCATCTCGGCAACAGACAGAACCCTGCCTCTTTGTGTCTTCATTTTCTCTGTGCACTTGTTTAGGGAGGTCCGACGCAGCCATGGACTCTTCGCCCTCCTCTTTCTTGGATCGCCTCACGTGGAATGCGCCCGCCGTAAGCATCGTTTCCCATCCCTCCAATCTGTCACTCTGTGCCCTCTCGCTGCCCTCGCTGCCCTCTCGCTGCCCCATTCACCCACGCGGCAGTCGCGCGGCCTCGTCGCGCGGAGCTGCTGAGCAACACGGTGTGGCGCGATGCTTTGCATGATTCTCGCTCGTGCCAGTGACGCCCGTAGCCATGACCCTCGTGCTTTCGCGTGCCTCGTGTGCCATTGCCGCGCGCGATGCGAGCGCCAGTCGTAGATAATCGCGGTCATCCCCAGCGCCTGCTCCCCTCGTCCGCATTCTCTCTCCTCTCTTCTTCCTCCCCTGTTCCGCGCTTCGCCGTCTCGCCCTGCGCCCTGCGTGCATCCACTCCCCGCACCTCCCATCCGCCGTTTTCCCGTTTCCCGTCGTCCCGCTTCCCCTTTCCTCCCCCCACACCCCCATTGGCGGGCGGGGCGAGCAGGAGGAGCGCGTGGACGAGGGGCAGGCGGAGGCAGCAGCGCCGGTGGCGAGGGAAGTGAGGCGCGCCGAGGTGAGCTGTAGCGCGCAAGGGCTTTCGCCAAGGGCTAAAGGCTTGCAGCAAGGGCTTACAGCAAGGGTTAAAGGAACCCCTCCCATTTCGGCCCAGTGCGGTTTCACGGTTGTTTGAGCCCAGCGATGATGCTGGCGGGCGCTGTGCGGGGAGGAGGGGGGAGGGGCCACGGTGGGGATGAGATGGGTGGGAGAGCAGGGCAGGTGGATGAGAGTCAGAGTGGTGCAGTGACAACCCTCTCTGTTGACATGCACACATGCCTTGCTCCTCCCACTCCCCGTGCCCTGCAACCCTGGATGGCAGGCTGTGAGCTTTCTGCCCTTCCCTACCGAAGCCATCACTCTGGAGCGCGGCCTCACTCTGCTCAAGGTACAACGTGCCGTGACGCCTGTTAGTGGCAGTCAATGGCAGTCAATGGCAGTCAATGGAAGTCAATGGCAGTCAATGGCAGTCAGTGGCAGTCAGTGGCAGTCAGTGGCAGTCAGTGGCAGTCAATGGCAGTCAGTGGCAGTCAGTGGCAGTCAGTGGCAGTCAATGGCAGTCAATGGCAGTCAATGGCAGTCAATGGAAGTCAATGGCAGTCAATGGCAGTCAGTGGCAGTCAGTGGCAGTCAGTGGCAGTCAATGGCAGTCAGTGGCAGTCAGTGGCAGTCAGTGGCAGTCAATGGCAGTCAATGGCAGTCAATGGCAGTCAGTGGCAGTCAGTGGCAGTCAGTGGCAGTCAATGGCAGTCAGTGGCAGTCAGTGGCAGTCAGTGGCAGTCAGTGGCAGTCAATGGCAGTCAATGGCACTCAATGGCATGCCATCCCTCCCACCATGCCCATCCCTCCCACCATGCCCATCCCTCCCACCATGCCCATCCCTCCCGCCATGCCCATCCCTCCCACCATGGCCATCCCTCCCACCATGGCCATCCCTCCCACCATGCCCATCCCTCCCACCATGCCCATCCCTCCCACCATGGCCATCCCTCCCACCATGCCCATCCCTCCCACCATGCCCATCCCTCCCACCATGCCCATCCCTCCCACCATGCCCATCCCTCCCACCATGGCCATCCCTCCCACCATGCCCATCCCTCCCACCATGCCCATCCCTCCCACCATGCCCATCCCTCCCACCATGCCCATCCCTCCCACCATGCCCATCCCTCCCACCATGCCCATCCCTCCCACCATGCCCATCCCTCCCACCATGCCCATCCCTCCCACCATGCCCATCCCTCCCACCATGCCCATCCCTCCCACCATGCCCATCCCTCCCACCATGCCCATCCCTCCCACCATGCCCATCCCTCCCACCATGCCCATCCCTCCCACCATGCCCATCCCTCCCACCATGCCCATCCCTCCCACCATGCCCATCCCTCCCACCATGCCCATCCCTCCCACCATGCCCATCCCTCCCACCATGCCCATCCCTCCCACCATGCCCATCCCTCCCACCATGCCCATCCCTCCCACCATGCCCGTCCCTCCTCCCACCATGCCCGTCCCTCCTCCCACCATGCCCGTCCCTCCCACCATGCCCGTCCCTCTCACCATGCCCGTCCCTCCCACCATGCCCGTCCCTCCCACCACGCCCGTCCCTCCCACCATGCCCGTCCCTCCCACCATGCCCGTCCCTCCCACCCACCATGCCCGTCCCCAGGGCAAGGCGTCCACAACCATGCTGGTCGGGACAACGTCCGACTTGGTGCCGGGAAAATATGAAGGTGAGGTGATGCATGAAGATGAGGTGATGCATGAAGGTGAGGTGATACATGAAGGTGAGGTGATGCATGACGGTGAGGTGATACATGAAGGTGAGGTGATGCATGAAGGTGAGGTGATACATGCCTCACATGCCTTGCACGGTACCACATGCCTCTGTGAGAATAAGAATTGAAAATAAACCATTGAATTGATTAGATGAGAAGGGTGCATACATAGTTGGGAAGAGAAGCTGGGAAGGGAAAGGGAGGGAGGTGGAACTTGGTGGAGTGGGCCAACCTATGGCCCAGTGGGTTAGGTTGGCAACTCTTGGAGAAGTGGGCCAACCAATGGCCCATTGGGTTGGGTTGGCAACATTCCCAAAGTGTTGCCACCTTTAAGGACCAATAGGTGCATTTGGGGGCTCCACCACAATTGGGTTGGATTGGCACCCCATCATGCAAGGCTACACCCAATGTCCGTTGTAGTCCCAACCCAACTGTACACCACAATTGGTGTACAATCACAAAAGTCTAAGCATGCTATAATAGATTTTCTAACAGCCTCACATGCCTTGCACGGTACCACATGCCTCACATGCCTTGCACGGTATTTGAGGCGCCTCAAAAGTCGTCTCATGTCTCGCGGTTTTTATGTGGGGAGAATTATAATTGCATGGAAGTGTGCACGTAACCTTCAGCGGTTACTCGTCGTAAGGGCGCGGTTACCAAAGTCACTCGCCAATGCTGTCGAAGAAGTTCCCGAAGGCTGACTTGGCACCCTGAATTTGTTTCATTGCCTAGTTGGCGAACCCCTTTCCTAGTTGGATTCTGGGTAGTTGGGTTTCTTGTACGTAGATCTCGAGGGTAGTCTAGCTATTTTAGCTGCTACCAGACTCTCTGTTTCTGAGTTCTGAATTGTGCTGTACTGATGAAGGCGTGATTGGGTTCGCCCATCCGCCGAAACTAGTTTACGCAAGGAGGCTTTTCGGAAGCTAAGGGTTTTTTCAGATCTGCGTTTTTCTCACCAGTTTTTACTGTTTGATTCCTTTGCTTAAGCGTCCTCTCTACTACTGCAGCCCTTCGAAACATGAGTCAGGGTGACCCTTGGGATACCGAATGGTTTCCAGAAAACAAAGAGGCCGGTACTGAAGGATGCGGCTCGTCGAAGAAAGCTCGTGGGCGCGGAGGATCGTCGCGTCCTGCTACCAGGAGTGCATCGAAGCACTCGCGGGACGGCAGTCGTATTCCGCCTTTGCAGTTGACCTACGAACCTGTTTCACGAAGCAAGCAACCTGAGATTCCTCCCCCCGGAGCTTCTGGGAGTCGTCCAAGCATGGAGATGCCGGATCAGCCCGTTGACAATTCTCCGATTCCTAAAATTTTCAAGAGTTGGACTACTGCAGCGGTGAAAGATTTCCGGGACGGCTTCAAGGACCTTCTTAAAGCGAAAAGCAAGCTTAAAAAGATGGAGTTGGATCGCCAAGGTTCTATTCTGCACAGCATCAGAACTAAGGCGGTCGAATTCCAGACGAAGAATGACTCCGTCAAAGAGAAATCTGCATCAGCTGTCGCGAAGATCCACTTGGAGAATCAAAAACGGTTGCAGGCGGAGTTTATCGCTTCTAAAGAACTGGAGGTTGAAGAAATTCAGGCAGCTGTCGGCACGCATGTCACGACTCTGGCGCCGAAGATGGAAGAGTACATCAAGGGCCTCAGCTCCGACCCCGATCTGTTGGTTTCTGATACCGCCAAAAACCGCTATCGGCGACTGAAGGGGCGGTGCATCGAGAAGGCTCAATCTGACATCGCGGCGGCCAAGGATGAGATGACCATCCGAGAGATCGATCGACAGCATAAGCTGGCGGCTGAGGATTTGAAGAAGGCTGCTGCAGCTGAGGAGGTGCAGGAGATGGAAATGGAGCCTGCGATTGAGGAGATTCTGGCTAAGCATGCCAAGAAGATTGAAGACAAGCTTCGGCGGGAGATTACGCAGAAGCTTGAGGCCAGTCTATCTAAGAAGCTGCAGAAGAATCTTCACATCGGAGAGCAGAACTCTTCGCAGGCCGCATCCGCTGACAAGAAGCAGACGGCTCAACCTGGGAGGCAGGACGGTGCACCTGGGAAGCCTAAGCCGAAGAAGCGGGGTGGTAAGACTCCAAAGAAGCAGAATTCCAGCGCCGACAAAGAGCAGCAGGCGAAAGGCCCTACCACATCGAAGGCCAAGGGACCAAAAAACGGCAGAGGCGGCCCCGGAAAAGGGCCGCACAAGAAGTGACCAGCCATGATTTAGCGCTCCGTTGGTTCGCGAAGCTAACGTTTCGGCAGGCGGCGTTACGAGTTCGCAACCGCGGAGTTCATAACCTCAGCGCCAAAGTCTTGTCCTTGGACGAGAAGAAAGCGCTGGGGCTTGGTCTGAAGTTTATCCCAACGCCCGCTGTTTCCCTTTCTACGGTCGAGTTAGATCAGCTTTGCCGACAGATTTCGCTACGTTTCTTCTTCAAGGATGCAGACCCGGCTAAGGACTATCGTTTTCGAGTGAGAAATCCGAGTTGGGCACCTGATCGGAGTGAGATTCCGGAGCAGGTTTTCAGAGATTCGTCCTCGGACTTATCTTTTCTGCTGAAAGCATCTAGGCCTCCTCGACACCGAAACATCTCGTTACGTGTTCGACAGGCCTTGCGTTCCATCGCCGCAGATCGTAGTGTGGTTATTAAACCGGCCGACAAGAACATCGGGATCACTGTGATGGATCGGGAACTTTATGTTCGTCTCTGTATGGACCATCTAGGCGACAGATCGACTTACACCCCGGTTCTCCACGATCCTACTGCCTTAGTCGTTCAGGGACTGCACGAACTGCGTCACGCATGGGGCCCTGCTTATCCCGACAGCCTTTGGAAGTATTTTCTAGACGAACCACCTGGAGGTTGGAAACCCGCAGCCTTTTACATCCTTCCTAAGCTACATAAGAAGCAGCTCGCTGGGCGTCCGATCGCCGCTTCGCATTCATGGGTTACTTCGAATGTCAGTAGATGGTTAGATGCGGAACTTAGGCCGTGGGTGCTACGACAGCATACTTACCTCCGAGACTCTCTTTCGCTATTCTTGTCGCTGGAGGAAACTTCATTTCCTAACGAGATTCTTCTAGCCACGTACGACGTCTCGTCGCTCTACCCCAGTATTCCTCTTAGGCGCGGACTCGATGCGGTGAGCAGCATTTTGCAACGAGGGAGTCACCACAGTCTTCAACCAGTCATGGCCCTACTGGAGTGGGTCATGATGAATTCTTACGTGGAGTTCGACGGCCACCTGTACCACCAGACGCAAGGGACCGCTATGGGAACTCCTGCAGCGGTCTGCTTTGCGGTACTTTTCATGAGCCGCCTAGATGAACTTTTGAGGGAGAGATGGTCCGGAACGCAACCTCTACGCCATGTCAGATACATCGACGATGGCCTGATTCTTTGGCCTGGATCGAGGAGTGAGTTGGAGAAGTATCTGCAGACCTTCAACGAGCTTGACCCGAATATCAAACTGACGTGGCAGATTTCGGACAGCTCAGCTGATTTTCTTGATTTGGTCTTATTCAAGGGACCGAGATTTGCTGGGCAGGGTATCTTGGATCTGAAGACATTCCAGAAACCGCTTAACCGATACCTTTATCTCCCTTTTTCATCTTTTCATCCTTGACACTGCAAGACTGGTTTCATTGCAGCTGAACTGAAGCGTTATCTTCTCCGCTCGACTTCTGCAGATACCTTTCTCGCCTCCAAGCGCGCTTTCTACCAGCGGCTACGAAGTCGGGGTTACCCCTCTGATTTCCTTCTACCCATCTTCAGGAGCATTTTCTTTCGACAACGACCTCTCCTTCTGGAGCAGACTGCTGCCCGCCACGCACACAAACTTGAAACTCCCCCCGAACGCGGCCCCCTAGTCTTGAAGACACTGTTCACACCTTTGACCGGACGTCTCAGGCTGGGGGTGCTTTTGAGGCGCCTCAAAATTCGTCTCATGTCTCGCGGTTTTTATGTGGGGAGAATTATAATTGAATGGAAGTGTGCACGTAACCTTCAGCGGTTAATCGTAAGGGCGCGGTTACCAAAGTCACTCGCCAATGCTGTCGAAGAAGTTCCCGAAGGCTGACTTGGCACCCTGAATTTGTTTCATTGCCTAGTTGGCGAACCCCTTTCCTAGTTGGATTCTGGGTAGTTGGGTTTCTTGTACGTAGATCTCGAGGGTAGTCTAGCTATTTTAGCTGCTACCAGACTCTCTGTTTCTGAGTTCCGAATTGTGCTGTACTGATGAAGGCGTGATCGGGTTCGCCTATCCGCCGAAACTAGTTTGCGCAAGGAGGCTTTTCGGAAGCTAAGGGTTTTTTCAGATCTGCGTTTTTTTCACCAGTTTTTACTGTTTGATTCCTTTGCTTAAGCGTCCTCTCTACTACTGCAGCCCTTCGAAACATGAGTCAGGACATGCCTCACATGCCTTGCACGGTACGGTACCACATGCCTCACATGCCTTGCACGGTACCACATGCCTCACATGCCTTGCATGGTACCACATGCCTCACATGCCTTGCATGGTACCACATGCCTCACACGCCTTGCATGGCGGCAGGCGGGTTCAAGCTGTGGGAGGCGGCGGTGGACCTGATAGAGGCAGTGCGGGAAGACATGCGGGACGGCACCCTCTCCTTCCGCCGCAAGCACGTGCTCGAGGTGAGGTGCGCCCTGCACGTGCTCGAGGTGAGGTGCGCCCTGCACGTGCTCGAGGTGAGGTGCGCCCTGCACGTGCTCGAGGTGAGGTGTGCCCTGCACGTGCTCGAGGTGAGGTGCGCCCTGCACGTGCTCGAGGTGAGGTGCGCCCTGCACGTGCTCGAGGTGAGGTGCGCCCTGGACGTGCTCGAGGTGAGGTGCGCCCTGCACGTGCTCGAGGTGAGGTGCCCCCTGCACGTGCTCGAGGTGAGGTGCGCCCTGGACGTGCTCGAGGTGAGGTGCGCCCTGCACGTGCTCGAGGTGAGGTGCGCCCTGCACGTGCTCGAGGTGAGGTGCGCCCTGCACGTGCTCGAGGTGAGGTGCGCCCTGCACGTGCTCGAGGTGAGGTGTGCCCTGCACGTGCTCGAGGTGAGGTGCGCCCTGCACGTGCTCGAGGTGAGGTGCGCCCTGGACGCGCTCGAGGTGAGGTGCGCCCTGCACGTGCTCGAGGTGAGGTGCGCCCTGCACGTGCTCGAGGTGAGGTGCGCCCTGCACGTGCTCGAGGTGAGGTGCGCCCTGCACGTGCTCGAGGTGAGGTGCGCCCTGCACGTGCTCGAGGTGAGGTGCGCCCTGCACGTGCTCGAGGTGAGGTGCGCCCTGCACGTGCTCGAGGTGAGGTGCGCCCTGCACGTGCTCGAGGTGAGGTGCGCCCTGCACGTGCTCGAGGTGAGGTGTGCCCTGCACGTGCTCGAGGTGATGTGTGCCCTGCACGTGCTCGAGGTGAGGTGTGCCCTGCGCTGCACGTGCTCGAGGTGAGGTGCGCCCTGCACGTGCTCGAGGTGAGGTGCGCCCTGCACGTGCTCGAGGTGAGGTGCGCCCTGCACGTGCTCGAGGTGAGGTGCGCCCTGCACGTGCTCGAGGTGAGGTGTGCCCTGCACGTGCTCGAGGTGAGGTGCGCCCTGCACGTGCTCGAGGTGAGGTGCGCCCTGGACGCGCTCGAGGTGAGGTGCGCCCTGCACGTGCTCGAGGTGAGGTGCGCCCTGCACGTGCTCGAGGTGAGGTGCGCCCTGCACGTGCTCGAGGTGAGGTGCGCCCTGCACGTGCTCGAGGTGAGGTGCGCCCTGCACGTGCTCGAGGTGAGGTGCGCCCTGCACGTGCTCGAGGTGAGGTGCGCCCTGCACGTGCTCGAGGTGAGGTGCGCCCTGCACGTGCTCGAGGTGAGGTGCGCCCTGCACGTGCTCGAGGTGAGGTGTGCCCTGCACGTGCTCGAGGTGATGTGTGCCCTGCATGTGCTCGAGGTGAGGTGTGCCCTGCGCTGCACGTGCTCGAGGTGAGGTGCGCCCTGCACGTGCTCGAGGTGAGGTGCGCCCTGCACGTGCTCGAGGTGAGGTGCGCCCTGCACGTGCTCAAGGTGAGGTGCGCCCTGCACGTGCTCGAGGTGAGGTGCGCCCTGGACGTGCTCGAGGTGAGGTGCGCCCTGCACGTGCTCGAGGTGAGGTGCGCCCTGCACGTGCTCGAGGTGAGGTGTGCCCTGCACGTGCTCGAGGTGAGGTGTGCCCTGCACGTGCTCGAGGTGATGTGTTCCCTGCACGTGCTCGAGGTGAGGTGTGCCCTGCGCTGCACGTGCTCGAGGTGAGGTGCGCCCTGCACGTGCTCGAGGTGAGGTGCGCCCTGCACGTGCTCGAGGTCGCCCTGGACGTGCTCGAGGTGAGGTGCGCCCTGCACGTGCTCGAGGTGAGGTGCGCCCTACACGTGCTCGAGGTGAGGTGCGCCCTGCACGTGCTCGAGGTGAGGTGTGCCCTGCACGTGCTCGAGGTGAGGTGCGCCCTGCACGTGCTCGAGGTGAGGTGTGCCCTGCACGTGCTCGAGGTGATGTGTTCCCTGCACGTGCTCGAGGTGAGGTGTGCCCTGCGCTGCACGTGCTCGAGGTGAGGTGCGCCCTGCACGTGCTCGAGGTGAGGTGCGCCCTGCACGTGCTCGAGGTGAGGTGCGCCCTGCACATGCTCGAGGTGAGGTGCGCCCTGCACGTGCTCGAGGTGAGGTGCGCCCTGCACGTGCTCGAGGTGAGGTGCGCCCTGCACGTGCTCGAGGTGAGGTGCGCCCTGCACGTGCTCGAGGTGAGGTGCGCCCTGCACGTGCTCGAGGTGAGGTGCGCCCTGCACGTGCTCGAGGTGAGGTGCGCCCTGCACGTGCTCGAGGTGAGGTGCGCCCTGCACGTGCTCGAGGTGAGGTGTGCCCTGCGCTGCACGTGCTCGAGGTGAGGTGCGCCCTGCACGTGCTCGAGGTGAGGTGTGCCCTGCACGTGCTCGAGGTGAGGTGCGCCCTGCACGTGCTCGAGGTGAGGTGCGCCCTGCACGTGCTCGAGGTGAGGTGCGCCCTGGACGTGCTCGAGGTGAGGTGCGCCCTGGACGTGCTCGAGGTGAGGTGCGCCCTGCACATGCTCGAGGTGAGGTGCGCCCTGCACGTGCTCGAGGTGAGGTGCGCCCTGCACGTGCTCGAGGTGAGGTGCGCCCTGCACGTGCTCGAGGTGAGGTGCGCCCTGCACGTGCTCGAGGTGAGGTGCGCCCTGCACGTGCTCGAGGTGAGGTGCGCCCTGCACGTGCTCGAGGTGAGGTGCGCCCTGCACGTGCTCGAGGTGAGGTGCGCCCTGCACGTGCTCGAGGTGAGGTGCGCCCTGCACGTGCTCGAGGTGAGGTGCGCCCTGCACGTGCTCGAGGTGAGGTGCGCCCTGCACGTGCTCGAGGTGAGGTGCGCCCTGCACGTGCTCGAGGTGAGGTGCGCCCTGCACGTGCTCGAGGTGAGGTGCGCCCTGCACGTGCTCGAGGTGAGGTGCGCCCTGCACGTGCTCGAGGTGAGGTGTGCCCTGTGTTGTGCAGCAAGTATGTCCCAGAGGGTGGATTCTCACCTTCAGTCTTAGAGGTTGTGGGTTCAATTCTCAGCAGCTGCACTTTCCATTCTCCTTATGCCCCACATTACATGTCCACACTCCACCACACTCCACCACAGTGAAGTGTGGTCACAGTTGGCATTGCCACCTGTCCACTCATCCCACACTCACCTTGCTGGCCTCTATGGTGTGCCAGATGCTGTTATGTGGGCTGTTGTTCCAGCCTGGCCCACGTGTGCAACATGTGGCCTCACTTGCTAGCTTGGCAAGGTTGGCTAGCCTTGCCCTCAGCATTGAGGTGCTGCAGCTAGCCTCAAGAGTTCAACCACATATATGTGGCTTCCCACTTCACTAGAAATCATCCTTGGACAAAGACCTTGCTCTAGTCTTTAAGACTTATACCATTTTCTTGCTAAGGATATTTCTTCTTCCTATCGTGCCATAAGTTCACTGATCCATTTTCTTCATGGTATCAGAGCTAGGCTTCTAGCTTTGTGAACGTCGCACACTTGATGGCTCAAGTTGAGACGCCTCTCGGTCGGCACACCCTTCCTATCTTGGAACCGGATGGTTCCAACTTCATTCCATGGAAGAAAAAGATCTGTTACATCTTCAATGTCCTTGGGCTGATCTCCCTTCTTTGAGATCCCAAGGTTGCTGCCCTCCCTTCCATTTCCTCTTCCACAACCAGCAGTGGAGATGCTACTGAAGGCAACAATGGTGCAGCCCCTAAAACAGCCCCTTCGATTGCGTCGCTGCCGGATGAAGAAAAAGAGGAGCATGCGTACTATCTTCTCATGTCAGCCGTCCATCCTCAGCTCTCGCTAACACTTGCTCAAGCCAACACGACGAAGGATATGTGGGGATGCATCATGGCGCGGTTTGACTGCATGGGTAACCATGCACAAGTGGCTCTCCTCCGAGATCTCATCACTACACGGATGGACCCAACAATGAGTCTTCGCTCCTACTTCGATCTAGTTGGAAATCTCACGCACCAACTCAAATCTGCCGGCTTCGAGCTACCATCTTGGGTGGTGGTAATCTCCATCATTCTCAATCTGCCGGACTCCTTCAAGACTCTCACAGAAACTATTTGCACCGTGAAAGACATCAAGTCTATGACGGTTGAATACCTGCAGTCACGACTACTCGATGCCGATTGGGAGCGGTCACAATCTGGTACAAGCCGCAACATGGAAGGTGCATACAACCTCCATTCCCAGCCCTCCCACCCTATTCGCTCCGGTTCCCGCCAGTCCCCTACTTGCCGCTACTGCAAGAAAACCAGCCACACCATTGACGAATGCTTCAAGTTGAAGAAGAAGAAAGAGCTCGAAGAAAGTTCTCGACGGGAGAAATCTGTCATCCAGCCTTCGGTGCATGTGTCAACAAGCTCCTCCGCCGACATCCCTTCGATCTCCACAACACCTACTGCCCCATCAGCCCCTCAGTCCGTACCTGATTCCCGGTACGTTGACATAGCTTTCAGCACCAGCCACCGCCCCATCCTCCCCACCTGGACTCCTCTCGTCGCTGCTGTCTTCGTCTTCACCATCCTCCTCCTCCTCCTCTTCCCTTATGGTGCTCCCTACGCATCGGCACTCACAGCCTCTTCCTCAAACATGATCCGGACTTCTTCCTGGCTGGTGGACAGCGGCGCATCTTCCCATATATGCTCCGATCGCTCGTTGTTTTCATCTCTCCAGCAGCCAACTGATGATATTATCGTTCGTTTTGGTGGTGGAGAAACTTACAAAGTCTTGGGAGTCGGCACGGTGGTGGCTACTCTTCGCTCACAAACCTCGGAGACCACCATCCAGCTAGACAACGTTCTGTTTCTCCCTTCATCGGTTCACAACCTCCTCTCGGTTCGTGCACTTGGAGCTGCCGGCATTGCCGTTTCCTTCCCCACTGCAGGGCGGGTTGAGCTCAAAACTGATGCGGCTCATATCGGCGAGGGCTTTACCCGCAACAATCTGTTTTATCTTCAGCTGCATCATGGGAGCAGTGCCGCCCCCCCCATCAACCCCACGGCATGTCCAGTCTCCACCACCACCTCCTCATACCTTTGGCATCGCCGTTTCGGGCATCTTAACATGCGGGACCTGTCAACACTTCATAGGCAGCAGCTGGTCACCGGTCTTAACCTCTCCTCCTCCTCGATTCCCCAATGCATCTCGTGCTATCGTGGGAAACAAACGCGTCAACCATTTGGCGTATCCCATTCTCGCACCACAGCACCGCTCCAACTCATTCATTCGGATATTGCTGGACCATTTTCATATGGAACTACCATTGGAGGCGCTCGCTACCTTCTCACCTTCATCGACGACTATTCCCGCCACATTACCGTGTATCTCCTACGCCATCGTTCAGAGGCATTTTCATGCTTCAAAGATTACGTCACTCGGGTGCACAATATGCATTCCCCAAGGACCATCAAAGCGTTTCGCTCCGATGGTGCCTTGGAGTTCAATTTCGACGCCTTCACTTCATTCCTTAAAGCTCATGGCATCGCTCGACACCGTTCTACGCCGTACACACCCGAGCAAAATGGAGTTGCTGAACGCGCCAATCGGACTATACTTGAGATGGTCCGTTCCATGCTTCATGACGCACACATGGACAAAGGATGGTGGGGTGAAGCCGCTCTCACTGCTGCCTATCTCCGAAATCATGCCATTAGTCGGGGTGGTTCAACTTCTAAGACTCCCATAGAACTATGGACCGGTGCACGTCCGGACGTATCACACCTCCGCATCTTCGGTTCACCCGTTTCAGTCCTCATTCCTCCGCAACGGCGCTCTAAGCTCGACGACCGAAGCACGGCCGGCATCATGGTTGGGTATGGTCATCTTGACGGCACCAAGGCTTATCGCATCTATATCCCATCTCAGCACCGTGTCACACTTTCTCGTGATGTCATCTTCATGGAGCACTCTTCGCCACCTTCCGATGACCCTCGAGAACCTCCATCGTCATCTCCACCACCCATATCATCATCTCCGCCTCCTCCCCCACCCCCTTCCCTCTCAGCCCCAACCTCCCCTCCCTCTCCTTCACCACCCATGCCCTCTTCCACCACCCTCCTCCCACCATCTCCAACTCTGCCCGCACCAGCCACCTCTTCTCCTCCTCCTTTGTTTTCCAACCTTCCTCTGCCCTCGACGCCGCAAGACTTCCGCCTTCCATCCCTCTCCTCTCCTTCTTCAGCTCGTCCTCCTCCTTGCACCTCTAGTTCCTCACCACCATCCCCTTCAGCTCCTTCCACTCTTTCACTTTTCTCACTGCTCAAGGTCTTACCGTCTCCTTCTGAACCCATTGACTTCACCCTTCCTCCTCTTTCCAAGACATCCGCTAATGCCGCCCTTCATCATCATTACGAACCTCAAACCATTCATGAGGCCCGCACTGGCCCTGATGCTGCTGAATGGATCAAGGCTGCTGATGCGGAACTCGCTGCCCTGCACGCTAATGACACTTACAGCGTTGTTCCTCGACAACCCAAGTGCAAGCCGATTCCATGCAAATGGATTTTCAAGGTCAAGGAGCATGCTGATGGTTCTATCGAACGTCGCAAGGCCCGCCTTGTTGTCAAAGGTTTCAAACAACGCGACGGTGTTGATTTCCATGACACCTTTGCTCCTACCGTCCGCTTCGCCACCCTCCGCCTCTTCCTCACCATTGCTGCCGCTTTCGACCTAGAAGTCCATCAGCTGGACATTTCCAACGCCTTCCTCAACGGCACTCTTGATGAAATTCTCTACATGATGCAGCCTCCCGGTTATGAACTTCCGGCGGTCCATGGTGTTGAGCAAGTTTGTCTCTTGCACAAACCGTTGTACGGGTTGAAGCAAGCGCCGCGGTGCTGGTATCGCAAACTTCGTGAAGAGCTTGCTGCCTTTCGCCTTTTTGCTGCCCGTGCGGACCCCGGCCTCTTCATTGCTCCTCCACAATCTCCTTATCGGCCTACAGCTGCATCCTTCTTCATGCTTCTCGTCTATGTTGACGACCTCATCATTCTTTCCTCCTCCTCTTCTCTTCTTTCCTCCTTCAAGCGTGCCCTTTCATCTCGCTTCAAGCTTCGTGACCTCGGTCCTCTTTCCTACTACCTTGGCTTTCACATCACTCGTGATCGGACCTCCCGCACTCTCCACCTTCATCAATCCAAATTCATCACCTCCATCTTAGACACCTACTCGTTCACTCCACTTAACCCTGCTGCCACCCCCATGGACACCAAGTTTCAGCTGCCCGTGACTTCCTCCCCACACTCCTCCTCCTTTCCTTACACCTCGTTTGTCGGATCCATCATGTATGCCATGGTGGGTTCCCGTCCCGACCTCGCATATAGCGCTGGAGTTCTTGCTCGTCACCTTCATGATTGGTCTACTCCACACGTCTTGGCTGCCAAACGCGTTGCTCGCTACTTGAAAGGGACTACCTCGCTTGGGCTTCTCCTTGGCGGCATTCCCAACGCCCTTGAACTTCATAGGTGGTGTGACGCCTCTTGGGGACCGGAGGGAGAGCTCCGACGCTCCGTTACGTGCTTATTGTTCTTCCTCGGTCCGTCACTCATCTCTTGGCAGTCCAAACGTCAAGCTGTCGTCGCTACCTCTTCCTGTGAAGCTGAATATTATACTCTGGGCGCCGCGGTGCATGAGGCATTATGGCTTCGATCCCTCCTTACCGCACTTGGACTTCCCCCAACCGGCTCCACCCGCATCTCGTGTGACAACAATAGTGCCATCATTCTGGCCAAGGACGACGGCGTCTTTCATCCCAAGGCCAAGCACATCGACATCAAGCACCATTTCATTCGTGATCATGTTGCTAACCACTCCGTTACCCTTCCCTATGTTCCTACTCAAGACAACCTCGCTGACATTGGCACCAAGCCTTTGCCCCGTGACCCTTTTCTTCGCATCCGTGGTCTTCTCGGTCTCACCCATGTCTCCGCTTGAAGGACCCTACCCCGGGGACATCCTTGAGGGGGGGTGTTGTGCAGCAAGTATGTCCCAGAGGGTGGATTCTCACCTTCAGTCTTAGAGGTTGTGGGTTAAATTCTCAGCAGCTGCACTTTCCATTCTCCTTATGCCCCACATTACATATCCACACTCCACCACACTCCACCACAGTGAAGTGTGGTCACAATTGGCATTGCCACCTGTCCACTCATCCCACACTCACCTTGCTGGCCTCTATGGTGTGCCATATGCTGTTATGTGGGCTGTTGTTCCAGCCTGGCCCACATGTGCAACATGTGGCCTCACTTGCTAGCTTGACAAGGTTGGCTAGCCTTGCCCTCAGCATTGAGGTGCTGCAGCTAGCCTCAAGAGTTCAACCACATATATGTGGCTTCCCACCTCACTAGAAATCATCCTTGGACAAAGACCTTGCTCTAGTCTTTAAGACTTATACCATTTTCTTGCTAAGGAAATTTCTTCTTCCTATCGTGCCATATGTTCACCGATCCATTTTCTTCACCCTGCACGTGCTCGAGGTGAGGTGTGCCCTGCACGTGCTCGAGGTGAGGTGCGCCCTGCACGTGCTCGAGGTGAGGTGCGCCCTGCATGTGCTCGAGGTGAGGTGCGCCCTGCACGTGCTCGAGGTGAGGTGCGCCCTGCACGTGCTCGAGGTGAGGTGCGCCCTGCACGTGCTCGAGGTGAGGTGCGCCCTGCACGTGCTCGAGGTGAGGTGCGCCCTGCACGTGCTCGAGGTGAGGTGCGCCCTGCACGTGCTCGAGGTGAGGTGCGCCCTGCACGTGCTCGAGGTGAGGTGCGCCCTGCACGTGCTCGAGGTGAGGTGCGCCCTGGACGTGCTCGAGGTGAGGTGCGCCCTGCACGTGCTCGAGGTGAGGTGCACCTTGCACGTGCTCGAGGTGAGGTGGGCCCTGCACGTGCTCGAGGTGAGGTGCGCCCTGCACGTGCTCCAGGTGAGGTGCGCCCTGCACGTGCTCGAGGTGAGGTGCGCCCTGCACGTGCTCGAGGTGAGGTGCGCCCTGCACGTGCTCGAGGTGAGGTGCGCCCTGCACGTGCTCGAGGTGAGGTGCGCCCTGCACGTGCTCGAGGTGAGGTGCGCCCTGCACGTGCTCGAGGTGAGGTGCGCCCTGCACGTGCTCGAGGTGAGGTGCGCCCTGCACGTGCTCGAGGTGAGGTGTGCCCTGCACGTGCTCGAGGTGAGGTGTGTCTTAGATTCTACTACTCTTCTGTATCCTGCATTGATCCTATAAACCCTAGGACAGAGATAGGCACCCAAACTATGTTTGGGTGCACAACTAGGGTTAACCCTAGTTGGGGGTTGGAACCCAACCTTGGTCCAATTATTGGCTCCCAAGGTTGAGTTGAGAGATTATTGGCCCCCCCAATAATGTTGGCCCACTTTTGGCCAACATTATTGGGCCCCCCAATAATTCTCCAACCTAACTTATTGGTGGGGGGCCAATAATGATGACTAGGTACCCAACCAACCCCCCCTCCCCTAGCTTCAACTATGTAAGCTCGTATGATTCCTAATCAACTCAATGGTTCAATTCTAACATGGTTATCAGAGCTCTTACGGCCAACGCCGCTCAAGATCCTAGGACCCCTCGTGCTACTTAGCGCACCTCTCGCCGGCTCTGCCGCGCCTCACGCGCCACTTAGCGCGCCTCTCGCGCCACTTAGCGCACCTCTCCCCGGCTCTGCCGCACCTCTCGCGCCACTTAGCGCACCTCTCCCCGGCTCTGCCGCACCTCTTGCGCCACTTAGCGCACCTCTCCCCGGCTCTGCCGCGCCTCTCGCGCAACTTAGCGCACTTCCGCCGGCTCTGCCGTGCCCCTCGCGCCATCTCGGCGCTCCCCTCCTCCCCTCGACCGTCCGCCGCGACGAACGCGACCGTCAGCCGCGGACGCGACGAACGCGACCGTCAGCCGCGGACGCGACGACCGCGACCGACAACCGCGGACGCGACGTCCGCGCCGACGACGAGGGCCGACGCGACGTCCGCGCCGACGGGCAGCGCGGACGCGACGTCCGCGCCGACGACGAGGGCGGACGCGACGTCCGCGCCGACGGGCAGCGCGGACGCGACGTCCGCGCCGACGACGAGGGCGGACGCGACGTCCGCGCCGACGGGCAGCGCGGACGCGACGTCCGCGCCGACGACGAGGGCGGACGCGACGTCCGCGCCGACGGGCAGCGCGGACGCGACGTCCGCGCCGACGACGAGGGCGGACGCGACGTCCGCGCCGACGGGCAGCGCGGACGCGACGTCCGCGCCGACGACGAGGGCGGACGCGACGTCCGCGCCGACGGGCAGCGCGGACGCGACGTCCGCGCCGACGACGAGGGCGGACGCGACGTCCGCGCCGACGGGCAGCGCGGACGCGCCACCCGCGCCGACGACGAGGGCGGACGCGACGTCCGCGCCGACAGGCAGCGCGGACGCGCCACCCGCGGACAGCCGCCGCGGTCGGGACGAACGCGGGCAGCCGCCGCGGACGGGACGAACGCGAGCAGCCGCCGCGGACGGGACGAACGGGGGCAGCCGCCGCGGACGGGACGAACGCGGGCAACCGCCGAGGACGGGACGAACGCGGGCAGCAGCTACGGACGGGACGAACGCGGGCAGCAGCCGCGGACGGGACGAACGCGGGCAGCCGCGAACGCGACCAGACGGGGGAGTACCCAGCTGCGGACAGCACGCAACTCATCCCCACCACTGACCGCGCCGTCCCTCCGGACAGCGTCGTCACCTCTAGCACCTCCACCCTCCCCTCCTCCCTCCCCCCCCCCCCTCCTCCCTCACTCGTTATGGCGGACGAACCTTCGTCGCTTGAGCTCGCCTCGATTGACAAACTCGAGCTCCTCAACGGCACCACCGCAGTCAATTGGGTGTCGTTTGAGGAGAGTCTCTTCACGTACCTTGGCTCCGTCCGAGTGGGAGATTATTGCCTTCTTGACGTCGTCCTCGAAACGCCTCACGGCCTCCCTCCCACCCCACCCCCGCTCCCAGGCTCCTCCCCTCCTGACGCCCCACCACTCCCGACCGAACCCGCCCCTCAAGCCCCCATCCTAGGGGCTTGGGAGGATGACCCAGACAGGTGGGCTCGCACCCTCAACAAGTACAACAAGGAGCGAGATGACTACGTCATCAAGGGCAGAGCACACGCGGCTGCCGTCGCCGCTCACGAAGCTGCTACTGCAAAGCTTGCAGAGTTCAAAGCCATCTCCGAAGCGTACTCTACTAACCTTCGTAAGCATCACTCCGATACTGCTGCATGGCGCATTGCTGACCGCCGTGCACTCACTGTCATCTTCTCGTACGTTCCCTCCTCCCTTAAACGTGACCTTCGCCCTCCATCCTCCCCCTCTCTCTGGAAGTCTCTCTCCGCCCAATATGACCGTCAGGACTTACGCTCACTCCTCTCCCTCTTTCGCACCTTCCAAGACATCACCCTTGACTCCTCCCTCAATGCTGCCTCCTTCGCTCGGCGTCTCACGGACACTGCGCAACGCCTCAATGATCGAGGCATCTTGATCTCAGACACCCTTCTTACAGCACGCATCCTTGACTGCCTCCCACCCACCTATGACACTTACCGCATCAACTTCACCTCCCAGCACATTCGTCCTCCCCCTGTAGCTGTTACCATCGACTGGCTCCTTGACAGTGAGGCTGACCTCCTGCGTGACTCTGCAACGGTCAATGCTGTTCACGCTCGCAAAGGAACCAATAACACTGGCGGAAGCAGCAGCAGCGGACCTGGACGTGGTTCAAGTGGAGGAGGTCGAGGAGGCGGTCGCGGAGGCGGACGAGGAGGGCGCACTGGGGAACGCGGCGGACGTGAAGCAACTGCTCCATCCACGGGTGGGTTTCCCCCGTGTCAGTACGTCATTCGTCAAGGCCCCAACAAAGGTCAGACCTGCAACCAGACCACTCATCCAACTGAAACGTGCTTCAAAGCCCTCACTGATGAATGGCTTGCACGCGGCAACACAGGTCCCCCTCCACGTTGGAACACTATCACCCCTCGCCCCACCCCTCATGATATTCGCACCCTCTCCACCTATGCACCCTCTCCACCTAACCTCCATAATGTCCTCGCTCAGCACCTCTCCCCTCACGTCCTCCAGCAAGTCCAACACCTTCTTCCCACACCCACCACCACCCCTACGCCCTCCACCCTCACCACTCCGCCTCCACCCACGCCCCCACCTCCAACCCCTCCCTCCCCCTATCCTCCTCTCTATCCTCCTCCTTATGCCGGCTGGCCCTACCCTCCCTACCCCCCATCTATGTATGGCCATAGAACTGCCGCAACTGCTGCAACTGCTGCAACTACTGAACAACCCACCTCCTCCTCTCACCCCCCGGCTTCACACCGTTTCCTTCCACAGGATTCATAGGTCATGTCACCACTGCTAGCTCTTGCAATAATCCTATGTATGCCAATGCTATTAATGAGTCCTCATTCCAGTACTCCGTGTCCTCCTCCTTTCAGCCCCTTGAGTTCATCCTTGACAGCGGTGCCACCCACACGGTCCTTCGTGATGCAGGCACGCTCCTCCCCCTCTCCACCCCCTCCACAATCTATGGGGCTGACTCAAGCTTTGCCATACAAAACCGTTACACCTCCACACTCCCCTGTCCCCTCTTTCCCTCAGGTACTGTCACAGGTCTCTATGTCCCCTCCCTTCGTAACAACCTGGTTTCCCTTGGTGCCCTCTCAACGGCAGGTGTCACCGCCTTATTTCCTGGTCACGCAGCATATTGTGACTTATTTCACACCCCCTCCGGTCGCTTCCTCTGCCGTGTCCATTGGTGCCCCTCCACCCACATGTACACCTTCCGCATCCCCCGCCCCACCCTTCACCAACTCTCCACACCCCATCCCCCCGCCCCCTCCCCTCCTCTCGAACCTCTCCCTCCCCCTCCAACTCCCCCTCCCCCCTTCCTTCCCCCTCCCCCTCCCCCCTCCCCCTCCCCCCTCCCCCTCCCCCTCCCCCTCCCCCTCCCCCTCCCCCTCCCCCCGCCCCTTCCCCCCCCCCCCCCCCATCTAACCCACCCTCCCCCTGTCACTGTCGTAATCTCACACACCCCACCATTCTCCTCCACCATCGCCTAGGCCATCCCAACTTTGCCACCCTTCGCCGATCCATCCTCACTAAACTCCTTGACGGTCTCCCCCTTACCCTTCCCCCCCTCCCTCCGTCCCCCTCCCCTCCTTGCTCAGTTTGTGTTGAAAACAAGCTGAAGCAACAACCACACACGAGTAACCCCTCCTTTTCCCTCCAACCCCTTGACCTCGTTCACATGGATATGTGGGGCCCTAACCCTTCCCCCACCAGGCAAGGACATCGCTATCTCCTGATCCTGGTGGATGATCACAGTCGATACTCCTCCGTCACCCTCCTTCGTACGAAGGCGGAGGCCCCGGCTGCCATCACTGCCTGGGCTGAACAAGCACGCAACCACTTCGGTCGCCCTGTTCGCCGCTTCCATTCCGATGGAGGCGGTGAGTTCCTCAACCACACCCTGTCCTCCTACTGCACCACTCACGGCATCCTCCACACCTACACTCTCCCTCACTCTCCTCAGCAGAATGGTGTGGCGGAGAGCCGCGTGCGGGAGATCACCAAAACGGATCGGTGCCTCCTCGTTCACGCCTCCTGCCCACCTTCTCTGTGGGGCTATGCCATCCTTCATGCTGCCATCCTCACTAACCTCTACCCCCACCCTTCCCGTCCCACCTCCACCCCCACCGAACTATGGACCTCCAGCAAGCCTGACATATCTCCTCTGCGCGTCTGGGGTTGCAAGGCGTATGTCCTCATACACCCTGCTGACCGCTCACACGCACGTGGAAAGCTTGCGTCCCGCACACTCCCCTGTGTCTACCTTGGACACAACACCAACTCACCTGACTACCTTTTCCTCCACCCCCCCTCAGGTCGCCTCATCCGTAGTCGGGACGTGGTCTTTGACGAGGCCACCCCGTACTACACCTCCCCCTCCGCCCCTAACCCCCTTCCCCCATTTCCCCGGCCCCTTCTCTGGACTGACACCCTGCCCCTCCTCCCGTCCCCTGCCATGACCCCTCCCCCCCCCTCCCCCACCCCTCCCCCCCTCTCCCCTCTCCTCCAGCTCCTCCGGCGACATCCTTAACCCACCCCCCCCTTCCCCCTCCCACTCCACTACCTCACCTTCCGCTGCAACCCACCTCCCTCCTCCTCCTCCCCCTCCTCCACCTCCCCCACCCCCTTCCCCTCCATCCCCCCTCCCCTCCATCCCCCCTCCCCTCCTCTAATCCGGCCCCCCCTCCGCCTCCCCCCCCCCTTCCCCAGCGCCCCTCCCCTACCCTTGTCCTTCCCCGCTATCCCCACACCCGCTCCCTCGACCCCATCCTTGGTTCCCCACAGACTTCCCCCCCCTCCCTCCTCGCCCTCATCGGTACTCCCCTCCCCCCCCGCTTCAGCCCCCTCACTCCAGATCCACTGCGCAACCGCTCCACGCTCTTTACTGCACCACCGCGCAGCCGAGCAACAGCACTTCAATGTCCCAGACTCGACCTCCAGCGCAGCTGTCTTGCATCTTCACCACCCCCTCTACCTCCTCCTCTCTCTCCTCTCCTCTACGAAGACACCCACGACGAACTCCTCTTCCTCCACCTCCTCGCGCCCTCCATCGCCCCCATCGTCCGCACCATGGCAGGCACTCCAGTTCTTCTTTTCTCGGGCACCCCCACCATCTTCGAACCCACCACGTACGAGGAGGCTATTGCGTGCCTCGACGCCCCACTCTGGATTGAAGCCATGGTCAAGGAGAGCAACGCTTTCATCCACAACCGCTCCTTCATCGACGTCCCTCGCCCTGCCAAGACCAATGTCGTCAAGGGCAAATGGCTCTTCCGTGTCAAGCTTCTCCCTGGCGAAGACCCTGTTTACAAAGCTCGCTATGTGGCGAAGGGCTTCACGCAAAAGCACGGCTTTGACTTCTTCGACACATACTCACCCACTGCTACCCCACCGGTCGTTCGGGTGTTCCTCGACTTCGTCGGCAGACGCGGCATGCTGTTACACTCCATGGATGTCACTACCGCCTTCCTCCAAGGCGACCTACACGAACTCATCTTCATGGAACGCCCCAAAGGCTTTCACGCTCCACATGACCCGTCCACCGTTTGGAAGCTGCTCCGACCCGTCTACGGCCTCAAGCAGGCACCCCGGGAGTGGCATGCCAAGCTCTCTTCCACCCTTCGCGAGCTTGGTTTTCGCCCCTCCCGAGCTGCCTCCAGCCTCTTCCTTCGGACGACTCCGTCCCCTTTCTACATTCTCGTCTACGTCGACGACATGCTACTAGCCGCTGACACAGATGCTGAGATGCAGGAGGTCAAGGACGAACTACAGCGTCGCCTCGCCTGCAAAGACCTGGGGGAGGTCCGCAACTACCTTGGCATGGAGATCACCCGCGACCTCAAGGCTAAGACTATCTCCCTCTCTCAGTCCTTCTACATTGAGAAGGTCCTTGAGAGGTTTGGAATGTCAAAAGCCAAGCCCATCGCCACCCCGCTTGCAGTTGGGCACCAGCTCTCGCCCCCTGCCACCCCCACCGACTCCTCCAACCCCTATGCAGAACTTGTCGGGGCCCTGATGTACGCCATGGTCTGCACCCGCCCCGACCTTGCCTACCCAGTCAGTGTTCTGGCGCGATTCGTTGGTGTCGGCAGGCACACGGAGGAACACATGACGGCAGCCCGGCGTGTCCTACGCTACCTTCAGCACACGAAGGATTACACCCTCACCCTTGGTGGAGCAGACCCGTTGGTTCTCACTGGCTTCAGCGACTCGTCCTGGGCAGACTCACAGCCTGATCGTCGCAGCTCACAAGGATATAGCTTCACCCTTGGGAGCGGCCTCATCAGCTGGCGCTCCACCCGCTCCTCCTCCATCGCCCTCTCCTCCTGCGAGGCTGAACTGTACGCGGTCACGATGGCAGCACAGGAAGCACGCTGGCTCAGCTATCTCCTCATGGACCTTGGCTCACCACAGCCTTGTCCCACTCTCTGGTGTGACAACGCCAGCACCATCCACCTCACCAAAGAAGCTGTGTTCCATGGTCACTCCAAGCATATCGAGCTCCGACACTACTTTGTCCGTGATCTTGTCCAGGATGGCCACATTACGTTGCGCAAGATCGACTCTTCCTCCAACCCCGCCGACATATTCACTAAAGGCCCTCGACCGCTCTACTCACTCGGCAATTTTGCCGCTCCTGGGCCTTGCTCCCCATGGTGACTGATTCAGGGGTTGCTGTCTTATCTCGTCCAGGTTTATAGATCTATGCAGGCTAAGGGGTTGTGTTAGATTCTACTACTCTTCTGTATCCTGCATTGATCCTATAAACCCTAGGACAGAGATAGGCACCCAAACTATGTTTGGGTGCACAACTAGGGTTAACCCTAGTTGGGGGTTGGAACCCAACCTTGGTCCAATTATTGGCCCCCAAGGTTGAGTTGAGAGATTATTGGCCCCCCCAATAATGTTGGCCCACTGTTGGCCAACATTATTGGGACCCCCCAATAATTCTCCAACCTAACTTATTGGTGGGGGGCCAATAATGATGACTAGGTACCCAACCAACCCCCCCTCCCCTAGCTTCAACTATGTAAGCCCATATGATTCCTAATCAACTCAATGGTTCAATTCTAACAGTGTGCCCTGCACGTGCTCGAGGTGAGGTGCGCCCTGCACCGCCCTGCACTGACCCCTTTGGCCCATTCAAAAGTTTGATGCTTGTCTGTGTAGGGCTTGTCTTCTTGGCAGATCTGGAACTCGCCCACCTGTCCTCTCACCTTCACCCGCCCTCCCATGCGTCCACCTCTCCCTCCCTCCCTCCCTCCCTCCCTCCCTCCCTCCCTCCCTCCCTCCCCTGTCCCTCGTTCCCCCCCTTCCCGCCTGCCCCGCATCCATTGCATGCGCATCAGCTGGGCTGTGGTCACGGGCTGCCAGGCATTCTCGCCTGCCTCAAGGTGACCCCCCTCACATGCCACCTCGCCCTCACGTGCCACCTCGCCCTCACATGCCACCTCGCCCTCACATGCCACCTCGCCCTCACATGTCACCTCGCCCTCACATGCCACCTTCCCATCACATGCCACCTCGCCCTCACATGCCACCTCCGCATCACATGCCACCTCACCCTCACTGTGCAGGCTGCCCCTTGTTACATCGCCACAACACACCTACTGCTTGCCACGTCTCTTACTGCCACGTCCACCAACTGTTGACATGTCTCTTTGTATTTAAACTCAGTAACTCACACTCACTTATGAGTTCTACAAACCCGTTTTCCTCTGTCCCCTTCTGTGTCTGTTTCCTCTTTCACTTTAGACTTCCCTCTTTCACTTTAGACTCTCCTCTATCACTTTAAATTTCCCTATTTCACGTTAGCCTTCCCTCTATCATCACTTTGCAAATATCCTCCCTGCCTTGCTCTGCCTGCGCTGCCCGCTCCTCTTCTCCCTCCTGCAGCCTGCCGCTCCTCTCCCAGGACTCAACCACCCACCTGCCCACACCCGTTCACTCATACTCGTCCACCTCTCCTCCTCTTCCCTTCTACCCTTCTTCTCCTCTGCCTTCTCGTCCTTTCCCCATCCCCCCCTGTTGCTTGGTGCCTCTGTCCCACGGCATGGCCCATGGCACGGTGCTGGTGGCGAGGAGGGCAGGGGGCGGCGTTGGTGCATTTCCAGGACTTCAACGCGGAGGTGCTGCTCAACCTCACCATCCCCAACCTCACCGCCAACCTCGCTGCCGCCGCCGCTCCCCCCCCGCGCGAGCGCAGGGAGCACAAGGCGGGCAGTGGGGGTGGGGTTGGGGGGGCTGCGGGCGAGAGAGAGGGGGCGTCGTCGCCTTGCTCCCCGCCGGTGACGCCCAAGTCGCCCCTGCCTGACCTGCGCTCGTGCTTCTTTGCTGGTGACTGGGCCGCCATGGATGGCCTCCTCTCCCTCTCCCAACCCGCCACCTCCCCTCTGTCTCTCCCTCCCACTGCTGCCGCTGCCACTGATACTGCTGCCACTGATACTGCTGCCACTGATACCACTGCGACTGGTACTGCTGCCGCCGATACCGCTGCCACTCAAGCCGCTGCTACGGATGCCACAGCCGACAGTGCCTCACAGGCCTACCCAAGTGTGCCCGCCAGCACAGGCGGCAGCAAGGAGGTGAAGCAGGCGCGGCACGGCAGGGTGCACATACAGCCTCCCCCGCCCGCAACCCACATGCCACTGGACGGTGCATCTGGCACGCCCTCCTTCTGTGCATCGCCAGGTGGCACTTCGGCATTGGGTCACGGGGGCAGGAGGGCGGGAGGGGGCGGGGGCGGGTACGACATCATCATGACGGCGGAGACGGTATACTCGCCGCGCTCCATGGCCAAGCTGCTTGCCCTCGTCAGTAAGGTGCGCTCCCGTTGCTGTTTGTCAGCAGCATTTTCTCTCAACAGCAGCTTTAGTCGGCAATGTGCCCCTCCTCCACTCTTGCCCCTCCCTTTGTCTCCCCACACTGAGCAACAGCACACGGACGAGGGCGTTAGATTCTCCTCTGCATTAGATTCTCCTCTGTGTTAGATTCTCCTCTGCGTTAGATTCTCCTCTGCGTTAGATTCTCCTCTGCGTTAGATTCTCCTCTGCGTTAGATTCTCCTCTGCGTTAGATTCTCCTCTGCGTTAGATTCTCCTCTGCGTTAGATTCTCCTCTGCGTTAGATTCTCCTCTGCGTTAGATTCCCCGCTGCGTTAGATTCTCCTCTGCGTTAGATTCTCCTCTGCGTTAGATTCCCCGCTGCGTTTGATACCCCGCTGCGTTAGATTCTCCTCTGCGTTAGATTCTCCTCTGCGTTAGATTCCCCGCTGCGTTAGATTCCCCGCTGCGTTAGATTCCCCGCTGCGTTAAATTCCCCGCTGTGTTAGATTCCCCACTGTGTTAAATTCCCCGCTGCGTTAGATTCCCCGCTGCGTTAGATTCCCCGCTGCGTTAGATTCCCCGCTGCATTAGATTCCCCGCTGCGTTAAATTCCCCGCTGCATTAAATTCCCCGCTGCGTTAGATTCCCCGCTGCGTTAGATTCCCCTCTTCGATAAATTTTCCTCCGCGTTAGATTCCCCTCTGCGTTATCTCATCATTCGCTCACCCCTGCTTGCATTCCCCCCGGCATGGCCTGGCAGTGTCTGCGGCGGCCGCACGGTGTGCTGTACGTGGCGGGCAAGAAGCACTACTTTGGGGTGGGCTGCGGCACACGCCAGTTCAAGAGCCTCGTGGACCAACAAGGTGAGAATGGGAAGAGGGCATTCACGAGCAGGAGTAGATAGGGTTGCAGGGGGCAAGGGAGCCTAATGCGATTTGACCAAGGGCTTTCTGCTCGCCCTTCTCTTATTCTGGTCCTCATGCATTGGTGATGCTCGATGCTCCATGCTTGATGCTCCATGCTTGATGCTCCATGCTTGATGCTCCATGCTTGATGCTCCATGCTTCATGCTTGATGCTCCATGCTCAATGTTTGATGCTTGATGCTATGCTTGGTGCTTGGTGCTTGGTGCTTGGTGCTTGGTGCTTGGTGCTTGGTGCTTGGTAACGAACCAAGCATGAGATAGTTACCGAAACGAACCGGTTCGGTTACTTAAGCGCATTATCTGAGCTGGTTTGTTAACAAACCTAACCGGTTCTTTCCGAAGCTGGTTCGAGGCTCGGTATTATAGTCAGAAAACCGAACCGAAGCGAACCGAACCGAACCGGTTCGACCTGTTGAGTGCTAAAACAGTATACGGAAGCGTTAAAAACTGAAACTACCAAGTCTATGCCTAGCCATGCATACTCCACTTAAGACACTCTGACCGGTTCAACATGCCAATACGTTTCAGCTTGCTCGCTCGCTCAACTGAACATTCCGCGTCAACAGCAGCCAATCGCAGCTGCAGAAAATATTGCAGCGCAAACAGCTGCTGAGTCATCTTGTTCAGCTCTCTGTGATTGACTCGAGAGGAACTCGAAGTCAAACTTCCTTTCTGAGCAGCAACCTTGTCCTCCTATTGTTTTAAGTCAAACCATTCTTCTGAACTTGCTCCTCTGAACACTCGCTTAGAGAAATCTCGCTTCACTGGTTCAGCTGCGAAATACACACCCCCAGAAAATCGGTCGACTGATATACAGAAATGCGACATGATATGCAGGCGGCTGGTTGACGTGCAAAATAAATATTTGCACCCAGCACGACCAGTCTCTCCCTGGTCAGCGAGAAAACAGAGCGCCACGCTGGGTGACGCTGCGCTGCGGTGGCGAGACGCTCTGTTTTTTCGCCACGCTGCGTGACGCTCTGTTTTCAGCGTGGCGAGAAAACAGAGCGTCACACCATGCTCTGTTTTCTCGCTGACTTACCATGAGCGAGAAAACAGAGCGTGGCGAAAAGCAGGGCGAAACCAAGAACCCCCACCCTCCCTGCACCTCGACTTCTCTTTGTCCAGCTCCCCCACCACCCAACGGGCATCCTTAGTAAGGTTGAATAACTTGGACTGCAGGCTTTGCTGCGAGATGCTTAATGCTCGATGCGAAATGACTGGTGCCTAATGACATGCATGCCGTTTCCGTTCGTCTCCCTCCCGTGTTCAACCCGTGCATGTCCAGGTTCGTTGCACGGCCACTTGCTCAAGGAGGTTGTGGATGGCTCCTCCAATGTTCGGGAAGTGTGGAAGTTTTTCTACCGGGACTGACCGCTCTGTTGGGTGACATTCTGCTTCAATGCTTGTGCCCAGCCCAGCCCAGCCCACTCTGGCAAGTAGCTTGTTATGCGCATGGGCAAGCAGTGCAATCAAATGCTGGTGCAAGACATGGAAGATGTTATCATCTGAAATGACTCAATAGGATTGATACTTAGGGTGGTAGCTTCCTGTTGCAGTGGAAGTCTTTGTATGAGTTAAAGCCAATGTAGGAGGCTTTGTCTGGGCTAGTATGTAAAGCCCATGTAGTGACACGTTTCAGGATCGATGTCTCTGAAATCAAGTATATTAAGAAAATGACAAACATACAGAATATATAGCTAGAGTTAAGTACCTATTCGCCAATTGTACGTACTATTCACGCTATTCCTGTTCTGAAATGGTACATGACTATTCGCGAGGCCTACAGCTACTTGCTGACGTCATCCTAGGGCGCGTAGCGCTTTGCTGACGTCAGCCTATCGGTACTTTACTATTACGTGCGAAGTCTCGCACTGTACTAACTGTACTACACGAATTCCTTGAAGTGCTTAAGTCTCGATATTATCTCAACACTCCCCTTCACTTCTAGGAGTTCGGTGTAGTTACCCAGTTGCCTCAGAAACGCCACTGAGCTGGTTGCAGTGGTGAAATTTCTGTCGTGTCAGTTTCTTGGTAAGCGAGTCAGCTGCGATGTCACCGGTGGGACAGTAGACAAGGCGCATTCTCCCCTTGTCGATCGCATCCTTGACGAAGAAGTAACGCAGCGAGATATGTTTCGTGCGATTGACGAAGCCGGCTTGTTGGCAATGGTAATTGCACTCTGGTTGTCGCACTGCAGCGTGAACTGATTCGGCGTGACGAATTTTGCTTCGTCGAACAGTTCCTGTAAGTATAATCCTTCTCGGGTTGCAGCACATGCGGCAATAAACTATGCCTCAGCCGAGGAGAGTGACACGAGCTCCCGTTTCGATGAATTCCACGAGATTGGGCCAATTGGCTCGAGACGGAAAACGTAGCCGGTTCGTGACCGTCGATCTGATGTGTCACCGGCGTGGTCTGCGTCGACGTATCAGCTGAGGTACATTTTGTCGGTTGGTTTTCCTGTGTTGAAGACCAGCCCGACCGCTGATGTTGCGACAAAGTAATGTAGAGCACGCTGAAGATCGAGGTGGTGTTCTTCTTTCGGGCAGTGTAGAAACTGTGCGAGATAACTTGCGACGTATGCAAAGTCGGACGGCATGAGACTGCTGCGAAGAGAAGACACCCGATTTGCTGCTGGAACAGTTGTAGGCCAGCTGCTGAAAGTTTGGTGTTGTTTAGGACGTGCCCGGTGGGTGTAGATCGATAGGGTGTAGCGACGTAATCTGTAGGAATTTTGAAGCGCTTAGCGAGTGACTCAGCATACTTCGATGCTGTGAGATGGATGGCGGAGGAAGTTCGCGAAACGTTTAACCCAAGAAATTGGGTCACTTCGGTGGAGACGGTTAAATCGAGAGATTTCTTCAAATCTGCTTCGATGCGATCACCCAAGGAAGCCGACGAGCTGACGTAGAGGATGTCGTCCACGTATACCACGAGCAGCGCATAACTCCCCTTGTCGTCTAGCCGATACATCCTGGGATCATGCGGCAGTTGTCGGAACCCAACTTCTATCAGTTTTCTATTCAAATGCTGCTGCCACAGTCGCGGTGCTTGTTTGATACCGTACAGTGACTTCTTGAGCTTGCAGACACTTGGCGGGTTTGTTGGATAGGTGTGCGGATATTCGACGTAGACTTCGGCATCGATGTTGGCATACAGAAACGCGTTGGAAACGTCGATTTGTCGCAGCGGAAGATTCTTCGCAGCTGCTTCGCAGATGACGAGACGAACACTTGTATGTCGGCTGACCGGGGCGAAAGTTAGCGTGTAGTCTACCCCATGAGTTTGGTCAAAACCGCGAACAACCCACCTTGCCTTATGTTTCTCGTAAGAACCATCAGCCTTCGTCTTCACCCTGAAGACCCACTTTCCAGTAAGAACATTTTTATGTACGGCTTTTTCGATAGGTATGAGCTCCCAAGTCTCCCGTTTTTCCAGGGAAGCCAATTCACGATCCATAGCTTCACGCCATTTTTCGCGATGTGGCCCTGAAAGAGCCTGTCGGGCAGTTTTCGGTTCCGCTGTCAGAATCCCAACCACTAGACCATTGGGATAAAAGGGCTTGTTAAGTAGCGGGTCAGTGCGCCCATAATCCCCCAGGACAACGAGTCTGTAACCCTTCCCTAGGATCAATCAGGCATCACCAGTGGACCTCTGACACCCCCCCGCACTGGGATGCCCGAAGTGCACACACTGGGATTCAAACCCGAGACCTTCGCTCTGATACCATGTCAGAATCCCAACCACTAGACCATTGGGATAAAAGGGCTTGTTAAGTAGCGGGTCAGTGCGCCCATAATCCCCCAGGACAACGAGCCTGTAACCCTTCCCTAGGATCAATCAGGCATCACCAGTGGACCTCTGACACCCCCCCGCACTGGGATGCCCGAAGTGCACACACTGGGATTCAAACCCGAGACCTTCGCTCTGATACCATGTCAGAATCCCAACCACCAGACCATTGGGATAAAAGGGCTTGTTAAGTAGCGGGTCAGTGCGCCCATAATCCCCCAGGACAACGAGCCTGTAACCCTTCCCTAGGATCAATCAGGCATCACCAGTGGACCTCTGACATCCGCAACCTCTGTAGAGTTGTGCTGTACAGCTGTTGCTAGTCCCAGTATCTGAAGCCCAGTCTGATAATGAGGATTGTTATCAGTCCGACCAGCGAAATTGATAGGTTCACTTTGTTCTCCACTTGCCCCCCCAATTTCGTCAGGGTCGACGCGGATGCTGCT